CCCTGGCTTTTTAAATATACATGGTGGTCTTCTCTATCTTACTATTTGTATTTTTATCTCTGTGTTATTATTATTTATCCTTACCACTTTATTTTGTTTCTATTTTTTATTGTTCCTGTTGGGTTTTTCAGTTTGTGAAGCACAGAAGAGTAGATGCGTAGAAATAAGAACTGATGCAAAGGTTTATAAGGGAGGTGGAGGTGGGGGTGGGAGGCAAGGAGGATAAAGGTGTTGGGGACGCAAACAATGTATGTGGGAGGGGCAAGGGAGCCTAGAATTCATGGTGATTACACAACTCATTTTTAAAGTGATTTAATCATAGGAGGGGAAAAAGAAAATGTTCTAAAATTGATTGTGGTAATGACTGTTTAACTCTTCCTGATATGATTGAGCAATTGAATTGTGTGATATGTGGATTAAGTGCCAATAAAACGTTTTAAAAATTTACAGCCTGGGAGAACAGTTCTTGTCAGACCTACAGGGTCCTATAAGTTGGAATCAACTCAATGGCAGTGAGTTTTATTTTTTTAGTATGTGTGTGCTGCATTTGTAGTAATATATATAGTAATATATACACAATTATGGATACTTCAAGACACAATCAAACATCTCAGGGGATTGGTTTATTGGTTTAAAGGATGTGGACCATACTCTGGTGAGGCAATTTGGTCAACAATAAAGTTCATGTTCTACATTCTAATTTGGTGAGTAGTGTCTGGGGTTATCTGGAACAAAAGAGAAAGAAGAAAACCAAAAAATCAGAGAAGAAACTAGTCTACAGGACCAAGTCTATGAATCATGGCTCATCTACACTGGCACCAGAATTAGATGGTGCCCAACTACCATTACCAACTATTCTAATCAAGGACACAATAGATGGATCCCAATAAAAAGAGAGGAAAACAGAACAGAACTCATATTCTTAAAAAGTCCAGAATCACACTACAGGATTCCCCCACCCAACTCCAGAGATGATCACCCTAAGGTGATTTAAACTTTTAATCAAAACTACTCCCAGAGGCCACCTTTCAGTTAAACTGGTTGGCTGCAAAAATTAAAATATCAACATTTACTGTAAAGATGAAAATGGGAGCTGGCGTGAGTAAGGAGTACTAGCTGGTGTCACCGCCCCCGCCCCTCAGCACCCCAACTCCACCACCTCCCCAGTCTGCATGCCCCTCCTCCTGTTCCCCCTCCCAGGGCATCCCAGCATGGGTGGGCCAATGTAGCGGGTAACGCCTCCCCGGGGCATGGCTGGCGTTGAGCCTCAGAGCTATGGAGGCAGCATCCGGCCCCTGCCCAACCCCCTCACTGGCCCTGGACTGCCTACCTTGAACATGGGCCCAACAGTCCGAGGCCCATGGGCCAGTCCTAGTGGCAACTCGGTCTCCTACTTCTCGGCGCTCCCAGCAGCTACACAGGACCCCCTGGAGGTGGGCCACCCCAGAACACCCATCTTGGCCAGCCCTGGAGACTCCAACTCCAGTGAGAGCATGTGCACCATTGTGAACCCCATCTGGCCTCCAGGCCAGGCTAACTTCCCGCTCGGCCCCGGCCGGGAGGGCCCCATGACTGCCATGAGCGCAATGGAACCCCATCACATGAACGGATCCCTGGGCTCTGGCGACATGGGACAGGTTGCAGAAGAGCTCCCCAGGCGCCGACCTGAGCAATGCCCCAGGCACCCCACGGGGCGACGGCGAGATGGCGGCTGCCTGGACCTTCTTGCACCCATTCTCGAGCGAAAGCTATTCCCCCCCCCACCCCATGACCGTGAGCGTGTGAGGGGTCTCCACCTGGGTCTCAGGCTCCTTGCTTAAGGCAACATCTCTGGCTCCTGGACCCCCCAGGCCGAGCGAGCTTGGCAGGCCCTGGCCCACCCGGACTTTTCATTTTCTAAAAAAAACCAAAAACGCAAGGACCTCAAAGAAGAGCGCTCCTGTACAGCCCTTCCCTGCCGTTCTTTTTATTTTGTCCCCAGGGACTTCTGGGAGGGCACAATAAATGCAATTGTGTGTTTTGGTAAAAAAAGAAAGAAAGAAAATGGGGGCTGGAAAAGCAGAATTCTGGAAACAGAACCAACACAAGAGAAATAATGAGAATTTTGACACATTGTATGAGAATAACCAATTTCACAGAACAATTTATGCAGATATTGAGAAACTAATTTACTATATAAATTTCAATTGAAAACAAAATAGAATATTTTTTAAAAGACTTTGGTCTTAAGTACAACAGTTATAATCTTAGCTTTCAGTATGTCTTAGCTGTGTTACCCTGGACAAATTGTTTTCTATTCTCCCACCTGGAAAATATGAAAAAAAACATGACTCATAGACAAAACATCTAAAACGCAGGTTGGCACATAATTCTCTGTTGAAATGGAAGGATTCTGATCCTGGTTCTGAGACTCAAGGGCAAGTTATCACACCTCTTTGTGCCACCATTTCATCTATAAGGAAAATGGTATTTCATTGTGAGAATTTAACTGTAAAAAAGTCATTTCCAACTATCAATTCTTGTTTCATAGCAACCCAGTAAAACTGCCCAATGTGGTTTCCGATACCAATCTTTATAGAACTAGACTGCCACATCTTTCCCCTGCGGAGAGGTTGGCTGGTTTTGAACTTTTCACTTTATAGCCAAACACCACGTTTTTTGTTGTCGTTTTTTAATGTGCACAGTCCCAATAAATAAAGTACTTGACACGGGGTCTCAAAACTCACTGCCATCAAGTTGGTACCAACTCAGTGACTCTACAAACTAAGTAGAACTGCCCTCTTGGGTTTCTGAGGCTTTTAAATATTTACAGGAGTAGACAACTTATGGTAATCTTTCTCTCACAGTACAACTGTAGTGGGTTTGAACTGGTGACCTTGTGGCTAGCAGCTCAATGCATAGGCCACTCTACCACCAGGGCTTCAAACCTAAACTCGATGGCATCAAGTCAATTCTGACTCATAGTGACCCTACATAACACACTCAATAAATGGCAGCACTAGCCTCACATGGTTCTGGTCTCTTAGCTCTATCTCCTTTGTCAGAGCACAGATCAGGAAACAGACATTTAGGCATCAATTTCCAATCTTTGTGCTTCCCTATTACTTTCCAGAGATGATAAAACATCCACAACTAAATGCATTTGTACTCAACAATCATTCAATATTGTAAAAAAATTCCTAATTATAAATTTGACATAGGCTGTAGGATTACAAAGATAACAAAGATGAAATATTTCAAAGAATGTCATCTTACAGACATTCACAGACCTGTGATGAAGATTCAAAAACATATACTATGACAAAGAAATAGAGGAAAAAACTAGGAGGCGAAGGGCAGTTATAGAGATCTAAATACAGGCATATACATATGTAAATATATTTATATATGACGAGGGAGAAATAGATCTATGTACATATGTTTATAGGTTTAGTATTAAGGAAACAAATGGGACAGCGGGCCCCTACTCAAGTACTCCCTCAACACAAGAACACTTTGTTCTAACAATCGTCAGTCTGAGATGCTCACCTTCCTGGCATGATCGCTGAAGACAACGGGTGCATAAGCATATGTGGTAAAGAAAGCTGATGGTGCCCAGCTATCAAAAGATATAGCATCTGAGGTTTTAAAGGCCTGAATATAAACAAGTGGCCATCTAGCTGAGAAACAACAAAACCCACATGGAAGAAGCACACCAGCCTATCCCAACTCAATCGCTGAGGACAAAGCA